ACGTAACCTTTCATTTTGGGTAAGCCGACGCATATCAAAATTTGTTTTCTGGTCACTAAAACAATTAAACTGATGTTTCCACCCTGGAATTCAATGCCACAATGACTGTAACATTCAAAGTCAGAGTCGTGCAAATCTTGGGTTGGACCCCCATGATGATCCCAAGCATCACCTGCATTCCATGCGGTAGCTATTGGTGCGTTTGGGCGTCACATGTAACTTGAAATGTTTCTTCTGTTAGGTTCTATAGTGACTTTTTTCGTAGTCATTTGCATATTTTAGTATTATGCCCCCAAAATCAAATATCCCCTACTTTTTTTGAATAGTATATATTAACATTAATTTTATTTCCATGTGTCATTGTATTCTGGGTATTTTGTTGAAAAAATATGAGAATTAAAACATTGTCTGTCATTGCTTGATAACGTACGTTAGGGGCGTAGAGTGCCTGCTTTGGGAGAAGCTCTCTTGCCAGTGCATCATTGTAAGTTGTGCCGTGACGGTTGTCTTAAATTTCCTCTCTCTTACACAAAACTCAATTCAAAGGTGACACATAATAATTTGCGATGTTGAGTTGGTACACAAAAGGTTGGGAACCGCTGCCCTAGAGAGTCCACAACCATGGTATTGCATACTATAATACTATATGCGTACGCGGAGTGGCCATTTTATCGGTCAGTTTCGAACTCAACCGTAATTATGGTGTAACGGTGATATATTTAACCGTTTTATAGGCCCCCATTTTCATGTGGACCTATATTGTCGTCGAATGTTGTGAAAATCGGACCGAAACTGCCGAACATAATGGCCGCTCCCTGTACGCAAATAGTGTTAAAGGCAAACTATGTAATACCAATGTTTTGAACCCCCTAGAGATCACAATTTTGATCCAATGAACCTTCAAGTATATGTTTATATCCCAAAGATCTCGGCTACTTTCGATATTCGCTTATATCGGACTACCTTCCTCTATTATGGCCCGTAATTTTACGAAAGATTCCCAATTTTAGCTTGTGGACCCTCTACAGGTCACAATTTCTATTTTATCCGATTGTAAAAGTCGTTTTAATATCACATATAATGATGGCTCAGTTCAAATTTCGTCAAAATTGTTTAGATCAGGGGCCATACATCAAAAGGAATCGAAATCTATGCGATATGACCATATATTGTAAGTTTCAACAAAATCAGACAAAATTGTGACCTCTACTTTTACTCTATTTGCGTACAAGGAGCGGCAATTTTATCGGGCAATTTCGGTCTGAGTTTTACGAAATTCGAACTCAACCGTCATTAGGTTGTAACACTGATATATTTAAACGCAAATTGGATAAAACAAAATTGTGACCTCTACAGAGTCTAAAAGCTAAAAACGCCATTTATCGGACAATGGGGACCAATAATCCAGGAAGTTACGATCCGATATGCGCGAATATCGAAAGGAACCGAGATCTTTGGGTTGTTCACATACTTTTTATGTTTCATCAAAATCGGATAAAAATTGTGACCTCGAGGGAGTCCACAAGCTAAAAACATGATTTTCCGTGCTATCCGGGGCCATAATCTACATGGTTACGTCCGATACATGACCCGTCAGAACGGGTGAAAATTGTGACCTAAGTAGAGTCCACAAACAAGTTGTGGACGGACGGGCAGGGGCGACGAGAATATACATCTACATGTACTGAAATATCTAACATCAGTAGAAGTTCTTTCGAAAACTTAAAAGAGTTCATAGTTATGGTGGTGGGCGGGGATTAGACATACAATAGTTGTTAGACAGTGTATAATTTTGCTTCAAAATGCTCTGTAAGTAGACGCTAGAAGTTACCCAGATGTCAAGGTCTAGAGTGAATAAGCCAAAGGAAATAGAACAGTGTAATCCAGTTTATTGAGTCAATGCCGACTGCTATACACGAGCACTTGCCTCTGTACCACAGACATGATATCCGGTTCAAATAATAGGATTATTGAATTTTGGATTATAGATTTCTGTCAGTCTTACACTACAAAATTCGATACATCGATAGTCTATTGTAGCAACGCTTCATTCGAACACATATTCAATTAATATTTCAACCACCAGATAGGCCGCAGGATATCCGAATTAAAAGTACCAGTTTATTTTGAATGGAATGAACTGTATGTCTCTACATGACAGAAGATTGTCAATTACAATATTTTTCAGTATAATGTGTCAATGCATAGAACAACTGGAGTCTTTTCAAGTTGTACAAGTTCACTAACGGTGTAAATAACCACACGCGGTTTCCTTAATTGCCTAGATCCCAATTTACTCGACCGTATGAATAGTAAACAACTGTGGGGAAATTGTCTGGAAGAATAATGTTGTGCCCGTTGGTTGCAGTTTCTTCTATTTGATGGTTGGAAAACAATGCTGTGTATGTCTAGTATACGTTTGTAAATGACAAAACATAAAGTGGGGAAGGTACTATCTGGCTTTGTACCTATTGAACGACGTTTTGCGCAATGGGGCTGCTGGCCATGTCGACATATTTCATCATTCTTTGGAAAGCGTTGGCTACCCAGAGTATTCGCGTTAATTAACCCAGAGCGAAGCCGTGAAAGAATAGCTAATATGGCTTGACTAAGGCCCAAGCTGAACCTTCGACTTAAAGAAGGCTAGCCGACAACAAAATAGCATCCACAGTCTTTGGCATTGACAATCAGACTTATTGGTCAATTTAAATCACCGTTGATGTTGTTATCTTACCGTGAACAGATGGCCGGGCTTCGGATGTCCAATATTTAAGACAAAATCAAAATTTTAAAATTGGTCCACGAATCGCGTGCCAGAATGCTTTGACTCGATGAAAGAAGCTAAATATATCCCACAGGACAACACTGCGGCGTAGACTTGAATAACTATGCGCCAAAGAATACCATTCAATTTGGACTCTCGCGTATTTCGCCGAACATAAATAATTAGAAAAAACAGTAAAACAGAAAAGATTGAATATAAATCAGTTTATATACAATCATATAACATTATTATATGCGTTGCTACCCATTTGTGTCCATTTCTAGTTGCCAAAGAATAGAAAATTTAGCACCTCATTATTTGCAAGGCGAATAGAAACGGACTTTACTGCCCCTTGAAATGCCTTTTATCAGTGTTTCTTGTAATGCGATTACTAGCATCAAACCATTCATGTTATTGATCTGTGTAGTACAATTCTTAATGCTTTGATATATTGATTAACTAATTGCACTTCGGTCGGTGTATTGGGGTTGGTGTTGAGACATTAATAGTTGGAGCATTCCTAATACTTTATAGGCAAGCGGTTGCCAAAAAAAGCGATTTTTCGTACAATCAGATGCTATAATGTTACGGTCCGACATGCGACAATATCAAAAGGAACCAAGATCTTTGGAATATTACCATATATTTTAAGATTCCTATAAATTGTATAAAACTTTCTGACCTCTAGAGGGTCGAAAAACAAAATGTAGACATCCGGACAGACAGGGGCGACGACAATACCGTATACTAAGAACAATTAAGATCCATATTGTAGGATCTTCAAATAACGAGGTGTATGGGCATAGCAGGCAATTCCAATACTATACCTTGAAGGCCCATTAAAACCAAAGCATTGGATTAATTAGAGCAAGCTATATTAAGTATATTTCGTTAAACTCTTTTAAACCTTCTTAAAATTTCCAAATAATCTAATTAAAACCTCCCGATGTAACTGTTGTATCAAGCCAATAGAGAATTCCCCTAAGCTCTAGAGAGAGAGAGAGAGAAATGGGGTTTAACGTCCACTCGACGCAAACTAGGTCATTTCGGGACTAACATGGTTTAATTTTATTTCATTAATTCGCTGGCGCGTAGGGGGAGGAAACCGGAGGACCCGGAGAAAACCCTACTCCTTGTCACGTACAACCGGGGAATCGAAACCACGCCAATTGACTCAATGACAGATTTTATGATACAGCGCGCACACGCTAACCATTCAGCCATCCACCCACCCCACTTTATATTTTCGTTGGTCTAAATGCAAACAGCGGCTCTTTTGCTGCCGTGAATGTATGACTCGTTAGAAGATAACTGCAAATGCATGTCTTTCGATTATATCGCCTATTCTGCGAAGTCATTAATATAGACACCCAGGCAATAAACTGTAAACCCATTTACATAAGACAGAACTCCGCCATAGACTTGATGGCAATAACTTGTAGCCCATTCATTTAAGCTTGCGTGATTTCAGAAAACGCTCTTGAGTGAAACACACCGATAATTTAAACATGATTTCTACATAGAATTTTATTACAACAACTACTGCAGTATACCTATTTCTATTTTCATATAAATTGCTTAATTGAAGTGAACAAGCATTTTAAATTCCTTACTTCTGACAAGTTAATTATTGAAGTATTTCAGTCATCGAGGAAAAGGTCTGCTAATTGAAAATAAATAGTTTTTTGTGAGATTTATATGGATGTTTCCCACTGTATAACTCATTTATGCTTGGTCGATCTTCCTTACAAGAGCTACAGCTATCTGATTGTGGGTTCAAAAACGCCAGGTGCGTTTCCTATCAATTATGTCCCCTGTCTCCACCATAACGAGTTGCAGCAGTAAGACAGCTGTCACTTTCTTTATGGGTTCTTTGGGGGACATATTTATATGTATGTTTGAATACTTTCTAATTCTGATACGAGAGGGTGTTCAAATCGATCACATGATAACAAAACAATCTTGTTATATATGGTTACCCGTCACAAGGCTAATACTAGCAGAAGGGAAAGTGTGTTCCTGTGTTGCATTAGCCGTGCACCTAAAAAGATATATTAAATTTTATATAGTCTCAAAATGACCCATGTTAAGTGTTGCCGATGTGTTAAACGGCGTTTAATTTAAGTCTACAGAAATAAAAATAGCATACAATTCACTAGTAGAAGATACAAATTAGGGTAATAATTTACAGCATGTAATATATTATTAAATATTAATTTTGAAGCATTGTACTCACATTACTTAAGATCGACATCTTGTTCTGCTATCAGTTTCCCATCTGTGGTTTTTGTATCAACAATTACATTAAGCGAACATAACGTCATCTAGGTTTAAAAATCAATACCGCTCCTGATAGCTAGCAAACTACACCGAACTTTTCTATATACAACAGAACACCCTTTCACTCTTTATAAACGGGATGAATGATTATTCCTCTTATAAATGACATCTTTATCATTTCAGAAGAAAAAAAAGGTAGATGCCAACGAGAATGTACCTAGTTACAGGTTAATGACTTTGTCCTTATCCATGCACAGTCTTCATTTAATATTCATTTGCACAAGACTATCTGTAACACTACTGCTACCAATGGTGACATTAAGTAGACTTTCCCATCAATAAAACGTCCATGATTTTTGTACAATTTATTGTGCCATTAAGTTATAATTAGCAGAATAGCTGTTGTTTTCGTTTTATACAGGTTTCACACGCATTACCAATAAGTGGTTTAATGGTTACGTACAAAGAGAATCATAATTAAGGAAGGCATAAAATTAACAGAGCATCACTATACGCCTTGGTCAAGGCACATGAATAGAAGATAGAATTCGTGATTTAGTGTACAATTGTCGATTGTATGGCATAAGCGAACATAGTGCATATTTTCAAACGTGATGGATTACTACTAGTTTAATAAGAGATCATAATTTGAATTACATGTATTACAAATGACATTACACGCTTTAAAGTCTGAATACATCCAGTCTGAAGAAATATTTCTACTTACTTTCATCATATATAGCTAGCTCCCGTTTAACCTATAAAAACACAACGCTTGATAATGATTAATCTTTTGTATTTTTAAGTGATTACCATCTTGTAGCCCTACACTATTTAAGCCCCCGTCAGACCAAAGCTCGAGGTGGTTCAGATCTAAAATGTTTGGCGATCCAAGGAGACTCATAATTTCTACACTTACTTTCATCATATATAGCTAGCTCTCGTTTAAACTATAAAAACACAACGCTTGATAATGATTAATGTTTATATTTTTAAGTGATTACCATCCTGTAGCCCTACACTATTTAAGCCCCCGTCAGACCAAAGCTCGAGGTGGTTCAGATCTAAAATGTTTGGCGATCCAAGGAGACTCATAATTTCTACACTTACTTTCATCATATATAGCTAGCTCTCGTTTAAACTATAAAAACACAACGCTTGATAATGATTAATGTTTATATTTTTAAGTGATTACCATCTTGTAGCCTTACACTATTTAAGCCCCCGTCAGACCAAAGCTCGATGTGGTTCGGATCATAATTTCTAGCAGATCGCGTATAATTTGATGAAAATACTTAAACCAGTCTCCGGGACCCACAGACTCAGTAACCACACGATGTCGATACGATCAAACAAGACCCCAATACGCTCTCAACACTATCCAAGAAGACCGAACGGCGATCCCGATGCGATGAAACAAGATACGGAAATGTTCACTTTTGAATATCCAGACACAATATGAAACTACAAGCTCATTTCTGATCATTTTATACCATTCTGCAGAGTTCGTGATGGATCTGGACAGGATCTATTTAGTACCTGGACTGAAGCGTTAGGTCGTGATGGAGGTTTTAGAGGTCAAGTTTATGCCTTTTCAACAAGGCCTAGGCTCCCGATTCACCAAGACCTGACAGGGACCTTCTCCAGCTTTACAAGCCTACTCAAAGTATTTGAGTTGCGTTAGGTCGTGCTTTCGTGTGATGGGGGCTTAAATAACACCGTTTTATCTCGTAAATTGCACTGAAATATGTCACGGGAACTTTTAACTGTGAGGTTAGACTGCATAAATGTATATATAACAGTATTCTAGTTGCACAATAATAATTTATATGCAGACTAACACCAGGCATTCTTTTTCTTTTGTTATAGTAGGCAATATTGCTGTCCCTCATGACAGCTATGTAACATTAATTAAATTACTGTCATGTGTTCAGAAATGAAATGAAATGCATTGCAATGGGGTTCAATGTAACACTGTTTTGCTCCGAACTGGGCTATATAGAAGACGGGCATACGCCATACAGTGTGCTATGAGGGAAATTTTGCCCAGACAGCGGCACTACGACCTACACTGTTATCGAAGTCCAACTGACAAGGGGGAGAGAGAGAAATGTGGTTTAACGTCCACTCGACACAGACTAGGTCATTTCGGGACTAACATATGGTTTAATTTTATTTCAATAATTCGCTTGCGCGTAGGGGTCTTTAGCAGTGGGAGGGAATCGGAGAAAACCCACGAGGTTGAACAGCCAACCCTACTCCTTGTCACGTACAACCGGGGATTCGACACCACGCCAGTTGACTCAATGACAGGCCTTATGATACAGCGCGCACGTGCAAACCATTCGGTCATCAAACCTCCCCTGACATGGGGGAACCACGCCGGAATATCTGGATGAACTTTCTCGGCCAATGCCGGGATCGAACACCTGACCTTCAGGATAGCAAGCCAGCGTCTTACCCACTTAGCCACCGTGATCCCCTGTCATGTGTTCAATTGTCTAACGAAGCTGCTTGATGTCAGAATGCACGATGCTGGACATCGTTACTCTTGCTGGAGCTGGAACTTTCACACAGCCAGCAGTCGATGTCATCTGAAACCCATGATAACTATAATTAGTGATGGGTGTCGTGCATAGCACAGTATGCCAACAATTCGTAGAACATCATATACTACTTGATTGCGGAGTTCACATGCTTTATTTCACCATTAACCCACCTAGCTGGGGCATCAGCAGCTCACAAAAGTAAACAGTTGAAGCATTTAAGGGGTACATATCTGTCGGTTAATTCAATTCTTGTGTGAGGTTATTTCAGGAACTGTTCACACATTACCTTGAGCCGTATGATATTTACATATTTGAAAAAATCACCGAAACTAGTACTTAAATGAGCGCTTTTGCTATTTACGGATTATGTGTTTTGAAAGATAAATCTTCTTTATATTTTACCGAAACTTGTTTTGCTTTTAACTCATTTTGGTATATTTTTTTCCGAATAAAACGAAGTGTTCGGCGGTTTCATAATTGTTATAATAGAAATAATTATTATGTACATGCAGTGCAAAATATATGGGATACCTTTTTTAAAATAATAGGAGTGGATTTTTTTTTTTAAAAAAATGTGAACTGATACACGATGTGATAACAACTAGTAAAATATTCCGTGACCATTGATTAAATATATTCATTGTCAAATATATATATTTCCATTTATACGATTCATGATTGTGTATAAAAGAAAATCAGACAACACGAAAGTCTGGCATATTCCGACGTTGTTAACAATTCCCACGCCTTTGCAATATTTGTCACTCGCGAAGAGAAACAAAATGACACAAAGTAAAGTATTTTGTCATTAGACATTACTTACAGACTGTTCTACAGGTTGTGCTTTTCGTGTACATCACAATCAATATTAATACTTGTCACTACTCCTATCTCTATTCCCATGAGCATTTTCCCCCATATCTTTCTTGAAATGAAATATGGTTTGAGGTCTATTTTTCTGTGCCAATTTGCCTGATTAAGGCGGGTCGGGCAATACGAAAATACCGGTCTAGCTCTCCTCTGTTTTAAGACTATCTTTCAACCCTTACCTATTATTTGTCCGTAAGGGACCGTTTCGAAAGGAACTAGGTAGGAATTCGTCCGTGAGGGACCGTTTCGAAAGGAACTAGGTAGGAAGGCCTACCGCCTACCTAGTTCGTTTCGAAACGGTCCCTCTCGGACGAATAATAGGTAATAACAGCCGGAGTGGATCAGGATAGTATGGGGGCAACTTTGGGTCATTTAGTATATAGCGCATGGTTCACTAACCTCGAGGTCCCGGGTTGACCGAAAATAAGTTGATAGGGGTGTTCTTGATTTGGATTTCTCTTTTTGGTGGTCTGATGGAGGGTGGGGTGGGGGTAAAACCTCTATTTATTCGGATCGGACGAAAAAAAATTGTCTGGTGTATATGTTGGCATGTACATCAAAGATGAAGATTAGGCGGAAACTGTTGTATGGGAATTGCATGCCGTATAGTTTAATTGCGTGCCTTATGACCATCTCCATTAGCTCGCGTGATAGAAAAAGTAGAACGTTAAACTTCATTCACTTGACGTGTGTGGTAACCACTGTGGGTCAGTGAGAAAGTGTTCGTCAGTGACAAGTTAACAAAAGCATGCATTGAAAAACAATTGAGAAGCCATTAACGAACACGAGACAACGACCTCATTTTCCGTCACGAATTATTGCCTGGGTTTTATTTTTATCATAATATCAATGCATATTGCCTCGGGCATTGCAAACACGATCTATTAGGCAATTTAAATCAATATTGATGTTGTTTTCTTATCGTGAAAAGTTGGGTTTCCGATATTAAATATTTAAGACACAAGGAAAATTTTAAACGTGGCACACGAATCGCGTGTTAGAATGCTTTCGAGCGTCATTTGTAATGACTGGATGAACGAGGCTAAACATATCCCACAAGCGAGGAATTCCGGATTTGACTGGAATAACCAGACGCCAAAGATTGCCATTCAATATGCACTCGAACATAACTGATTAGTAAAAACAGAAACGATTGAATATAAATCAGTTTATATACATTCATATTACATTATTATATGCGTTGCGACTCATTTGTGTCAATTTCTAGACGCCAAAGAATACCGATTTAGCTCCTTTAAATACAACTTTTGCTTCAGTTTTCATGCATTATTGCTTGTTTAATTGTTATAATTATTTCAATATGTCTTAAATACAGTCACTATAGTGTTGTTGTTGTAGATTTCACTATAGTTCACACATATATAGTGCTTGTCATGTATTCCTCAATTAAAGCATATACATGAAAAAATAATGAATTCAAATCTTGAAAAAAAAGGCGGTGTCTCACTATCCAGGAGGTCCGGTGTGAGAATGTTCCTCGGAATGTTCCTGCATGACTTCCCCAGTGGCGCAGGACTTTGGGCCTAGCAAGAAACGGCGTAGGACATTAAACCTCATTTCATTCATTAATATTTTACGTGTGTTCTAGACAAAATAATCATATCTTACCTCGTACTTAACACAAGTC